AAAAAACACTGATCGACTGGTCTGATTATCTGGAACCTCACTACAAGTTCTTGCAGAACCACAAAAATGCTTTTCGCAGATTAGGCACTTGATGAGACAGATCCCTGACCTCCCTGTCCCCCCAGTCCCGATGTCTCTGCGCTGTACCCCGGCCCCAGTCTGGCTCCCAGTTCTCACCTCCTGGGGGGCTTCCTGGTCCTGTCGCGGGGGCCGGCGCCCAGCCCCGAGCCCAGGCCCCGGGGCGCGTCCCTGAGACCGAAGCTCTTGGCGGTGTGGCCCAGGTGGAGGGTCCGGATGTGGAAGACGTGTTTGAGGCCGGCGGGGTACGTTGTGTAGGCCCGCAGGAAGGACTGCAGAGCTGCGCAGACGCAAACGCAGGCGGTCCGTTAACCTCCGGCAGACAACATCTACCCCCCCATTGCACATTCCAACAAGCTACAGCTTCAGGCCTGGCATTCAAAGCCTCCTGCGCCAGAGCAGAAACGAGCCCTTAACTGACCCAGACGCCCATCTAAAATACAGGAGAGCGAAAGAAGAATCCACTGACAGCTGGAATGGACAGTATCGGGGGCCATGAAAACTGGAGCAAACCTGGCACAGGAGCAAAAGGCCTTTCTGAACATTGCTGTATTTGTCCTCTAGCTCTGCAGTGGCATTGCTATGTACTATTTTATCACAGGTGAACACTAACTTTGGAGCCACACCAGCGCCTGAAATAATGGGGAAACACTCTATTGCCACTGCATTAAAAGTGTGCATTTAATCTTTTACAGCTTGGCGATACATCACCTTGAGAGGTGCTTGTAGTTCCTGTTCAAGAACAGGTAGGAATTCATTCCTCCTCTCGTACACTTTAGATTTTCTTGACATTTCTATTTGGCATCTAGGTTTAATCTGTCATCCTCTGATCTTAAGTTCTCATTCCTAACCGTGAGCCACAGGGTTGACTGACAAAGTATATATCCCCCTTTAAAAACTGACTCATTGTTGTTATATGAAACATACTCCCTTGGCTTTCTGGTCAATAATTGCTTGATATATCCATCACCGCCTTGCTATTTACTCTGTTTTTGCAGAAGCCTGGGCTCTATTTTCCCAGGCTATGATTGAGCGAGCTATTTTCATGCACGGAGATAGACAGTTAAAACTGGGAGGCTAATATCTGTTTGATCAAAGTTTATGTGAAATTTCCCGGGAGCGCCGAGGGAGCGAGCGTTTATGAACTGTAATAAAAAGAGTCATTTTCACGGGCGGACCAGGTAGCGTGGCGGGGGATTTGGTTAAGTCTCTGTTTGCCGGGAAAAGAGCGCATTCATTTCAGATCAATGAGCTGCATGGAGAGGATAATGGCTCCACTGTATCCCCCTTCTCCTGCACAACACAGCCAGGCAGCAAAGCGTTAAAGAGACAGCAGCCACTCAGACATGGCCTAGCCAGCACTGCCAGCAACTGTATTACTGGTCTGGCCTCTGCCAGTACAGCTGGCATGACTGGGGGCCAGTGGTACATTAACAGGACTCAAGGGTGGCCCAGACAATACATTGGTTGAAGTGTCTGCAACGGCTGTCGTAACTGCTTAATGATTTCAAAGGCAACCTAGACTTCAATATTAAAAACATTACAAATTCCAATGTAAGCAGATTCAACCTGCGAAGGCAGAATTTGGCCGGCCGTGGGGTCCCAAATGCCAGGTCCGCTTTTCACACGAATGCTGTCATTTCGGCACATGCCAACATCCTGAAAAGCACTGCAGAACGGCTCTCACCCCTCAAACCCAATAAAGGTTAATACAAGTCAAAGATATCAGCCGCAATATTAGTGAGCTGAGTTTGCATGAAGTTTCTACGTCATTACTGTTAGCACAAAATAACTGCTTGGGCTTTCTCTCGCGTAGCTGAGTTTCCTAAAAGGCTCTTACTGGTAGTGAGGCTCAATGAGGGGCTCCTGTGAAGAAAGATGCCTTCTTTCGAGACTAACTCAGTAGAAGACTGTTTTTCTTGAGGGAGAGGGCTGATACCATTTTCCGACATTGAAGGGAAATAAGCACTTCTGCAGGATTTAAGTCCCAGATCACGGCCCTTTCCCCGTTGCACTGGAATCCGGTCCCCCCCACCCGGACTCGTACTGCCACC